AGAGAAATTCACTTTTATAAGGATACTCACTTCCGCCCCAGCCCGGGGTTGAACTCTCGACCTACGGAATCTGTCTCCTAGCAGTGCAGGAACAGCGCGTTAGACCGCTCGGCTATCTAGGCAAGTTAAAAAACTTGCTTTCGATGCCGATGGAATTCTCACAACGCTGCCCTACACTACACGGTCATTGAGAATAGAAGTGAGATACAGTTATTTGGACATTAGTTTTTAGAGGATTGTTACCAATACATGTTGTGATGAAATTAATTTTATTTATAAAGCACAATTTACAACAACTCTTAAACTAATATAACTGCCCTAAGTGAAGAAATATTAATATAGAAAGCACAGAGAAATTCACTTTTATAAGGATACTCACTTCCGCCCCAGCCCGGGGTTGAACTCTCGACCTACGGAATCTGTCTCCTAGCAGTGCAGGAACAGCGCGTTAGACCGCTCGGCTATCTAGGCAAGTTAAAAAACTTGCTTTCGATGCCGATGGAATTCTCACAACGCTGCCCTACACTACACGGTCATTGAGAATAGAAGTGAGATACAGTTATTTGGACATTAGTTTTTAGAGGATTGTTACCAATACATGTTGTGATGAAATTAATTTTATTTATAAAGCACAATTTACAACAACTCTTAAACTAATATAACTGCCCTAAGTGAAGAAATATTAATATAGAAAGCACAGAGAAATTCACTTTTATAAGGATACTCACTTCCGCCCCAGCCCGGGGTTGAACTCTCGACCTACGGAATCTGTCTCCTAGCAGTGCAGGAACAGCGCGTTAGACCGCTCGGCTATCTAGGCAAGTTAAAAAACTTGCTTTCGATGCCGATGGAATTCTCACAACGCTGCCCTACACTACACGGTCATTGAGAATAGAAGTGAGATACAGTTATTTGGACATTAGTTTTTAGAGGATTGTTACCAATACATGTTGTGATGAAATTAATTTTATTTATAAAGCACAATTTACAACAACTCTTAAACTAATATAACTGCCCTTAGTGAAGAAATATTAATATAGAAAGCACAGAGAAATTCACTTTTATAAGGATACTCACTTCCGCCCCAGCCCGGGGTTGAACTCTCGACCTACGGAATCTGTCTCCTAGCAGTGCAGGAACAGCGCGTTAGACCGCTCGGCTATCTAGGCAAGTTAAAAAACTTGCTTTCGATGCCGATGGAATTCTCACAACGCTGCCCTACACTACACGGTCATTGAGAATAGAAGTGAGATACAGTTATTTGGACATTAGTTTTTAGAGGATTGTTACCAATACATGTTGTGATGAAATTAATTTTATTTATAAAGCACAATTTACAACAACTCTTAAACTAATATAACTGCCCTAAGTGAAGAAATATTAATATAGAAAGCACAGAGAAATTCACTTTTATAAGGATACTCACTTCCGCCCCAGCCCGGGGTTGAACTCTCGACCTACGGAATCTGTCTCCTAGCAGTGCAGGAACAGCGCGTTAGACCGCTCGGCTATCTAGGCAAGTTAAAAAACTTGCTTTCGATGCCGATGGAATTCTCACAACGCTGCCCTACACTACACGGTCATTGAGAATAGAAGTGAGATACAGTTATTTGGACATTAGTTTTTAGAGGATTGTTACCAATACATGTTGTGATGAAATTAATTTTATTTATAAAGCACAATTTACAACAACTCTTAAACTAATATAACTGCCCTAAGTGAAGAAATATTAATATAGAAAGCACAGAGAAATTCACTTTTATAAGGATACTCACTTCCGCCCCAGCCCGGGGTTGAACTCTCGACCTACGGAATCTGTCTCCTAGCAGTGCAGGAACAGCGCGTTAGACCGCTCGGCTATCTAGGCAAGTTAAAAAACTTGCTTTCGATGCCGATGGGCTGGGGCGGAAGTGAGTATCCTTATAAAAGTGAATTTCTCTGTGCTTTCTATATTAATATTTCTTCACTTAGGGCAGTTATATTAGTTTAAGAGTTGTTGTAAATTGTGCTTTATAAATAAAATTAATTTCATCACAACATGTATTGGTAACAATCCTCTAAAAACTAATGTCCAAATAACTGCATCTCACTTCTATTCTCAATGACCGTGTAGTGTAGGGCAGCGTTGTGAGAATTCCATCGGCATCGAAAGCAAGTTTTTTAACTTGCCTAGATAGCCGAGCGGTCTAACGCGCTGTTCCTGCACTGCTAGGAGACAGATTCCGTAGGTCGAGAGTTCAACCCCGGGCTGGGGCGGAAGTGAGTATCCTTATAAAAGTGAATTTCTCTGTGCTTTCTATATTAATATTTCTTCACTTAGGGCAGTTATATTAGTTTAAGAGTTGTTGTAAATTGTGCTTTATAAATAAAATTAATTTCATCACAACATGTATTGGTAACAATCCTCTAAAAACTAATGTCCAAATAACTGTATCTCACTTCTATTCTCAATGACCGTGTAGTGTAGGGCAGCGTTGTGAGAATTCCATCGGCATCGAAAGCAAGTTTTTTAACTTGCCTAGATAGCCGAGCGGTCTAACGCGCTGTTCCTGCACTGCTAGGAGACAGATTCCGTAGGTCGAGAGTTCAACCCCGGGCTGGGGCGGAAGTGAGTATCCTTATAAAAGTGAATTTCTCTGTGCTTTCTATATTAATATTTCTTCACTTAGGGCAGTTATATTAGTTTAAGAGTTGTTGTAAATTGTGCTTTATAAATAAAATTAATTTCATCACAACATGTATTGGTAACAATCCTCTAAAAACTAATGTCCAAATAACTGTATCTCACTTCTATTCTCAATGACCGTGTAGTGTAGGGCAGCGTTGTGAGAATTCCATCGGCATCGAAAGCAAGTTTTTTAACTTGCCTAGATAGCCGAGCGGTCTAACGCGCTGTTCCTGCACTGCTAGGAGACAGATTCCGTAGGTCGAGAGTTCAACCCCGGGCTGGGGCGGAAGTGAGTATCCTTATAAAAGTGAATTTCTCTGTGCTTTCTATATTAATATTTCTTCACTTAGGGCAGTTATATTAGTTTAAGAGTTGTTGTAAATTGTGCTTTATAAATAAAATTAATTTCATCACAACATGTATTGGTAACAATCCTCTAAAAACTAATGTCCAAATAACTGTATCTCACTTCTATTCTCAATGACCGTGTAGTGTAGGGCAGCGTTGTGAGAATTCCATCGGCATCGAAAGCAAGTTTTTTAACTTGCCTAGATAGCCGAGCGGTCTAACGCGCTGTTCCTGCACTGCTAGGAGACAGATTCCGTAGGTCGAGAGTTCAACCCCGGGCTGGGGCGGAAGTGAGTATCCTTATAAAAGTGAATTTCTCTGTGCTTTCTTATATTAATATTTCTTCACTTAGGGCAGTTATATTAGTTTAAGAGTTGTTGTAAATTGTGCTTTATAAATAAAATTAATTTCATCACAACATGTATTGGTAACAATCCTCTAAAAACTAATGTCCAAATAACTGTATCTCACTTCTATTCTCAATGACCGTGTAGTGTAGGGCAGCGTTGTGAGAATTCCATCGGCATCGAAAGCAAGTTTTTTAACTTGCCTAGATAGCCGAGCGGTCTAACGCGCTGTTCCTGCACTGCTAGGAGACAGATTCCGTAGGTCGAGTTCAACCCCGGGCTGGGGCGGAAGTGAGTATCCTTATAAAAGTGAATTTCTCTGTGCTTTCTATATTAATATTTCTTCACTTAGGGCAGTTATATTAGTTTAAGAGTTGTTGTAAATTGTGCTTTATAAATAAAATTAATTTCATCACAACATGTATTGGTAACAATCCTCTAAAAACTAATGTCCAAATAACTGTATCTCACTTCTATTCTCAATGACCGTGTAGTGTAGGGCAGCGTTGTGAGAATTCCATCGGCATCGAAAGCAAGTTTTTTAACTTGCCTAGATAGCCGAGCGGTCTAACGCGCTGTTCCTGCACTGCTAGGAGACAGATTCCGTAGGTCGAGAGTTCAACCCCGGGCTGGGGCGGAAGTGAGTATCCTTATAAAAGTGAATTTCTCTGTGCTTTCTATATTAATATTTCTTCACTTAGGGCAGTTATATTAGTTTAAGAGTTGTTGTAAATTGTGCTTTATAAATAAAATTAATTTCATCACAACATGTATTGGTAACAATCCTCTAAAAACTAATGTCCAAATAACTGTATCTCACTTCTATTCTCAATGACCGTGTAGTGTAGGGCAGCGTTGTGAGAATTCCATCGGCATCGAAAGCAAGTTTTTTAACTTGCCTAGATAGCCGAGCGGTCTAACGCGCTGTTCCTGCACTGCTAGGAGACAGATTCCGTAGGTCGAGAGTTCAACCCCGGGCTGGGGCGGAAGTGAGTATCCTTATAAAAGTGAATTTCTCTGTGCTTTCTATATTAATATTTCTTCACTTAGGGCAGTTATATTAGTTTAAGAGTTGTTGTAAATTGTGCTATATATATATATATATATATATATATATATATATATATATATATATATATATATATATATATATATATAAATACAAAGCAAATTAAATTTGTCATTAGTCATATTATGTATTCACAAATATTGTAAAAAGAACAGACAATGAAAGGTTTCTTTTCAGTAATAATCTTGAAGATGTAATATTTATACATTTACATATAATTTAAATAATGAAACTGCATCAGGGGACACAATGACTTCAGTGGGAAATAAATACTGAGGGATATACACTTTAAGTGAACAACACCTTATGGCAAAGACTTTCAAAACCACCTGCATCACAAACTTAGTGATGGTACACTCAGTGGTGTACAAACGCACGCAGCGAGTCAGGTGGTGGCGCCTGCCCTGCTTCACACACTGGTGAAGGTACACTCGCTGGTGTACAAACGCACGCTGGCGAGTCAGACATAGCTATGTTACCCCTCTCTGGGATAGGCAAAAATAAAATGAACCTTTTCTTTCCTCATTTATTCCTTTAAAATGAACCTTTTCTTTCCTCAATTGTTCCTTCAAAAATCTCTAGCTAAAGATGTATAAATTATTTTGTGGTCAGAATAAACACTTTCTATGACATCAGTGATAATATTACATGTCACATTTGTGTAAATATGGTCTATCAATGATCCAGAAGAATGGGTTGACTTGAACACAATCTGTTTGCAACTGAAAGCTTCAGACATGTATGTAGCCACTGAAGAGCCTCCATGAGAAAGATCTATATTGAAATCCCCAATCATGATTATATTCTGCTGATTCTTAACTACTTTTGACAATTTGTTGATAAAGTTGTTTTTTGCCCTTTCAACAGTAGAACCTGGACTTCTATATAGCACAACAACTTGATAATTCTCATTTTTGCACTTTACTTCACTGTACTGCCATTCTAAGTCTTTGTCTGAGTGGCTAACATGATTAATGATTTGACAGTCATTTCTAATGTATGTAATAATGCCTCTATGAGGTCTGCCACATTGCTGATTCAATGCAAAATCCAACCTGAACATGTTGTAATTCTCCAATTCATAATCTTCATTTTCATCGGATGCTGTCAACCATGTTTCAGCCACTCCTATGATATGAGACTGTTGAAGATTTGGCTCATTTTTGAAACTTGTAAAATGGACATGCAGTGACCTCACATTCTGGAATGCAATGTTTATGGTCTGGTTATTTGTAGAATCCATAGGCTGATAACATAACTGTAATGTTGCTTCTGTCCGTAGTCTACACATTTCTTTTTTCACTTTCTCAGACGCACAAATTTTGCTTTCATTTAAACTCAAGATATGAAGTCCTTTGATCTTTGTAACCCTGCTTAGAGCAACATAGTGAATGTGTGGCAATGTAAATTTCGGATTCATATCAAGATTGATAACAGCTTGAACCATTGTGTCTCCCTGAGATTTGTGTATAGTTTTGGCTGCAGAAAGTCGCAACGGAAATTGTATACGTACAACAGTGTGTCTCAGGTACTGAAAGCTCCTTCTTACATCAAATATTGGTGTCCAAGACTTATCTACTCCACGTCCAAACAGATGTCTATACTGATATCGCCATGATTTACCAGTATTTGTGTCATCAAAAGAAATCCATATTATACTTGGCCTCTCAGTGCTTTCTTGTCTCCTCTCTATGTACTCTACCTTACATGATGTACCATTTGTGAGCCCATCCTCAACACATAAATTTGCAGTGATTTCATACTGTAGACCAAGTGCTATGGGAACATTTTTAGCCAATCCAGCTGTTTTAGAGGAGTCATCTGGCAAATTCAAATGCTGTATCAAATTTTCCCTTCCTACTACAGAATCATGAGCTGGTATATTGACCTTTTCACCATCAGCTAGCAGAAACACTTGGTTGTTGTAGGCATTCACACTTTCATTTCTTGTATATAATCTTGGAGCATCTCTGGGATATACTGGTAGTGACTCATCTACACATCGCTGCTTCAATGTCTGTATATCAGCTTCAGTTTGATTTCCTTCTCGTAAACGGTTGAGTAACTCGGCAAAATGAACATCATCTTTCTGTCTCATTATTTCCGTTAGTTCATGCATTGTGAACAATTCTCGCCATAAGTTTGTTGCCAATGGTCCAAAGTTTTTCTTCAAGTCATCAAAAACCCACCCATCCATCACTGGCTTTAACTGGAAAAGATCTCCAATCAAAATGACATTGATACCTCCAAAGTATTCCTTACTGCCTTTTATCTGCTTCAAACGCTCATGTACACGATTCAATTGTGAATTTCCAACCATTGAAACCTCGTCAATGATGACCGTTGACAAATATTTATACTTTGTTCTAAGACTGTTCAAGGATTCACTATCAAGGGGCTTGCAGTTAAATCCCTGACTTGCTGGAATTTTGAATGCTGAATGTATTGTCTGTCCCTTTATATTAAATGCAGTTTTTCCAGTTGGAGCACAGAGTAGAACCTTGCAGTCATCTGGATTTTCCCCTTCAGTAGAGCAATAGTGTCTTGTGAGTGCCTCATACAAAACTCTTACAAAACAGACTTTCCAACTCCTGCACCACCAGTTAGGAAAACTCTAAGTGGTTCTTTTTTGGTTTTAATCCAATGAAGCACATGGGTAAAAAACTCCATTTGCTTTTTGTTTAATTTGCTAACTAGTTGGAAATACATCTCATTGGTCATTTTGTACTGATGAGTTTGATCATCATTAGTAGAACTACTAGGTAATCCAAGATCTATTCCAATGTCATAGTTCTGGTGATTTTCTGAACGCTTTTGGTCAAAATACACAAATTCCTCACTTTCCCTACTCCCTTCATCTAAGTCCTTTTGTTCAATTTGCTCTGCATTAGGTGCTACTCTATCAAGCTGTACATCAGCCTCTTCAGCCTGCCTCTGTGCCTCTTCCAGCTCCTCTGCATTGTGTTCATACTTCTTTAATTTAGCACCTATAAAACTCTTCAGCCTCTTGGTTGTACTTTTCTTTATAAGTTGATTTGTCTCCTTTAATGTCTATATCTTCCTTTCTCCATGGATGGAAAAGTAAAATCTTTTCTCTATAATAATTTTCAGAATCAACTTTGATTGAGTAGTTGACATAACGAATGCACTTCGCCTTCCTCCTTTGCCTTATGATGATGCCATTTTTCAAAACTATCCTAATCAGCTCTGAATTGATCTCTTCATCTTCCAAGTCTCTTAATTCTTTTTCATCTTCAGAATCATCATTTTGCTCTAAGAGCTCATCATTTTCTTTGAAATCTTTTGGATATACAATTTCTAGTTCTGCGACATAGTCTGCTAAACACCAATTTTCAAGTTGCCTTGGTCTTTGAGAATAACGCTTGATCACACTGCTTGCATGAATGTCTGTGGAATTCTCTGGCAATTCTTCTAAAGCAGACTTGCATTTCAATAGAAGAGTTCTTTCTTCTGGTGGTGAAGTATTTATAAATACATCTCTTGAACTTTTTGTTAAAGGCAATTGTAAATTCAAGTATGCAGCTTCTTGTGCACTTATCTCAACTGCATTCAAGAACTTGTTTCCCATGTGTCGAACCTGTTTTTTCAAATCCATATTTCCTTCTCTTGCTTCCTTACATGCTTGATCAAGCAGACTACTCATTCCACGTTGGGACTTGCTAATGTAGGACACAATGTACAAAGCACATGCATATGGGTCTAGGACAAACTGCAAATCATGATTAGCTCGCCATGCTGTCAAAACATTTTTCATGTAAGAATTAACTCTTATTTCAGAAGGGGTTCTCTTCAAAAAAAGTTGTGGTCCATCAAGGGAACTTCTAATTGACTTTATATAATCTTCTTTCTCCAGGTTCAGTGATTGTAAAAATTCACTGAAAGAAATGTTTTTCCCTTCTTTCATATCTGCTAATTCTTTCTTCACCTTTGTAAAAATTTCTCTGTATGTCAATGCATCTGATTCATCTGCTGATAAAGGTTCCAAGATCAAAGTTGAATCCATAGGAGGCTGAGGAAATCCAAATCGACAAATGTCTTTTCCTTTTTTTCTTGCAAGTTCTGGAATGTTTGTGAATTTGTAATTCTACAAATGGTGCAACTTCATCATCACAATTTGCAGAGCAAGATACATACTGATCTATAAATTTAGCAATGTCAGTAACTGGATCTTCCTTAAATTTTGGAGCATCTTTGATCCACATAAGCATATGAATGTGAGGTGATCCTCTGTGCTGAAATTCAACACGATAAAAAAAGTCTATCAGTTCCCCAACAGGTTGATGCTCACTCTTCAAAACTGTATTGATAAACACATGTACTCTGTGATCAAAAAAGCGAACACATGTCACAGGATCTTTTTGCACCAAGTCAGTTTTTTCAGCCCATGTCAACTTGTCTACTTCCTCATCAGTAAGTGATTTCTTGAGATTGAGTTGAGCAAGAGTTTTGAGTAACTCAGGCCATCTTGTATCTGCTGCTGATAAAGATGCAAACCAAGTTGGTAACCCCACGCAGCACAGTTAAGGTTACAAAAAGGAGGCGGAGCCTAATTTGTACGGGAAAACTTGACTATGACATCATACAAAATATACGTCATACAACATTTCTTTAAAATACCACAAAATGAGTTTATCTGCTAATTTAACCAATAAGAAATCATCAAACTACATAAAAACTTACTATAACGTGTTGTTTTGTCGTCAGGTAAATCCCACATTACAAGTTATAAACAAATCACTGATTGCAAGACACTTGTCAATATGACGTCATTTCTTACAACGTGACGTAGTTTGTATGCAGTTAGAGACAGATCAAGTAATATTTTCTCGACAAAATATGTATTCTCTAATTAAATAAAATATTATTTCCAGATATTCTATGGGCCAATAACTTAAATTTAATGTCTTCTTCACTATCTATTTTATTAATATATTTTCTGTACATTACGTATTTAATTGACACTGCTGTATATTTGTATGCAAGTACATCGGAGGGTAATGTGGAGGTCCTAATAAATCGATCTAGTGCAAGGGCATACACTCTGTGGATCAAAGTAAGCTTTTACATTTCAACTATAAAACTATTAAGGTATCTAAAAAGTGCTGCGATCCTGATGAAATCTTAAAAACAGTTTAATTATATCAATATTTCATGCCGCTGACCAGCAAAAAATATAGCATTCGGTCATACAAGTATAATTTTAACAATGCAATTGCAGAATTTAGACAGGATCGCAGCACTTTTCAGAATCTACAATGTGTGTTGAAAATATTTATATACTAAACTGGGAAATTTAACTTGGTTATGCCCTTGCACTAGTAATATTTATATATATCATCAATACTTCAAGTCAATGTGCTAAAATCTCGTGACTGCCGCATCACGTGACTAGTCTAAATGTAAAATATAATCGTCTTCGATATGTAGTTATTAATCATAGTTACAATTATCCGATATAAATAATGTACTAAAAATAATCGCCATCCCAATTACGAATACATTTTTAAATACAAAATTTAGTCGATATTTCCATTGCGCACCTTAACTGTACTGCGCAGTTGTCTAATCATGGCAAACAACTCCTTCTTCTTTGCCTCTAGATAGGGAGGACTGTTATGCAAAGTTCTAAAAATGTAATATCCTTCATTTAATCTTGTGATCTTGTCAAGTACTTCTTGATTGAGAACATCACCAGCTGTTAATTTCTTCTCTGTTCCCTTACATCTTCTTAATACAAGATTGACTTTATCCGATATCTGCTTCATCTGAATTTTCTTCATTTTGAAAAAATAAATTTGGCACACTGTTTGCTGCACGTCTGTCAATGTTTCTAAGTTCCCATTTCACAAGATCACTATAATGAACTTTAACTTCACGATCATCTTTTGATGCCATCCTCTGACCACAGTAAATTGTTGGAAAAGACAAGAATTCTGCATCCTTATCAGTGTACAAACTCAGTGGGGTTTGTCCTTCTCCTGGAGCAAACGTGTACCCTGATCTTGAACAGGATTTGCGTCATCCAGTAATGTGTCGCAGCTGCCAGAATGTCCTTCTCTTTCATCAATTTCTTCAAATGTACTTTCTTCTTTCTCATCTGATGTAACACCAAGATTTGTATTCCTTCCTTCAATACACTCTGATTTACTTGTGTTAAAATATTCTGATATTATTTCACTGCTATCTGCGGTTATTCTAGCTTCCCAATCTTCATCTACATGAATCTTTGCATCTTTGTACATTTGGCTATTTCTCATTAACCAATGTAATGCAATGATTACATGCTTTGGTCTGACATTTTCTACAAAATCACATGTTTTGTAACTTAGTCTTCTCTTTAATCGGACTGGGACTGTAATGTCATTGTTAAACTGTCTTGGTAAAGAGTTTACAGTTGGCTGTAAATCTACTGGAACATTAACAACATTTCCTTTTATAGACAATTGTCTTCCTCTAGGCAACTCTCTTATCTGCATAAATGGAATCCGTAAAGCTATGAGGCGTTCTTCTAACTGATGAAGTGAACAACACCTTATGGCAAAGACTTTCAAAACCACCTGCATCACAAACTTAGTGATGGTACACTCAGTGGTGTACAAACGCACGCAGCGAGTCAGGTGGTGGCGCCTGCCCTGCTTCACACACTGGTGAAGGTACACTCGCTGGTGTACAAACGCACGCTGGCGAGTCAGACATAGCTATGTTACCCCTCTCTGGGATAGGCAAAAATAAAATGAACCTTTTCTTTCCTCATTTATTCCTTTAAAATGAACCTTTTCTTTCCTCAATTGTTCCTTCAAAAATCTCTAGCTAAAGATGTATATATTATTTTGTGGTCAGAATAAACACTTTCTATGACATCAGTGATAATATTACATGTCACATTTGTGTAAATATGGTCTATCAATGATCCAGAAGAATGGGTTGACTTGAACACAATCTGTTTGCAACTGAAAGCTTCAGACATGTATGTAGCCACTGAAGAGCCTCCATGAGAAAGATCTATATTGAAATCCCCAATCATGATTATATTCTGCTGATTCTTAACTACTTTTGACAATTTGTTGATAAAGTTGTTTTTTGCCCTTTCAACAGTAGCTGTTAATTTCTTCTCTGTTCCCTTACATCTTCTTAATACAAGATTGACTTTATCCGATATCTGCTTCATCTGAATTTTCTTCATTTTGAAAAAATAAATTTGGCACACTGTTTGCTGCACGTCTGTCAATGTTTCTAAGTTCCCATTTCACAAGATCACTATAATGAACTTTAACTTCACGATCATCATTTGATGCCATCCTCTGACCACAGTAAATGGTTGGAAAAGACAAGAATTCTGCATCCTTATCAGTGTACAAACTCAGTGGGGTTTGTCCTTCTCCTGGAGCAAACGTGTACCCTGATCTTGAACAGGATTTGCGTCATCCAGTAATGTGTCGCAGCTGCCAGAATGTCCTTCTCTTTCATCAATTTCTTCAAATGTACTTTCTTCTTTCTCATCTGATGTAACACCAAGATTTGTATTCCTTCCTTCAATACACTCTGATTTACTTGTGTTAAAATATTCTGATATTATTTCACTGCTATCTGCGGTTATTCTAGCTTCCCAATCTTCATCTACATGAATCTTTGCATCTTTGTACATTTGGCTATTTCTCA